TTTATTAACAAAAAATTGGGTACCTGGGCCGCGCAGCGGCCCCTATCCCATACATCATGAATTAAAAACATTGTGTGATAACATTTTGATTTTGCAACATTATGGTATGCAATGATAAAAATAAAAAAAGAGAAAAATTAACATAGATATTAAAAATTGATTATTTACATTATGTGAAATTATGATTGTGATTTTTATTTACATAGTGATATAATTTGTAGCAGGATATTTCTATTGATTTATTATATTATATTATTTTTAGTGTTCTATAGAGTTCATAGTTTATATTTTTGATTTTTCACAGATGATTTGGATGAGCTGCAGAATGGCTATGGTTGATGAAGTTCAGGTTGCTTTGAGGATGTTGGTGATTTTTTCTGACGTCGATGATTTTATTCACTGCGATGATTCTGCTGATCTGGTGTAATTTTGGAAGGAAGGATGATTCTGAAGCTGTTTGGAAAAAGTGACGTCTGTTGGGGTAGAACCTGCGATCTTTGTGGTAGTAGTCGGGTGTTCTATCCGTTCGGCTATAGTTTGCTTGATTTTATTTTCGTTGATGGTGAAAAGATGCATCTGAAGTGTAAAAAGCTGCTATTGGTCGGAGGTGAGAATCTTTGCTGTAATTTTCATATGAGAGGTTTTGATTAAAATTTGCTGCTTTGCATTTTTCTGCTTTTCTGTAAAAATCGGCGTTTAGTTTATTGATGAATTCTGATAAGGTAGGAATTTTGAGGTCGATGTGACTATTTTTGTTTCTAATGAACCAACGGGCGCGACTGTCACAAATATGTGCCAGCATAAAACCATATCAATCAGGGTAAAAAGATAAAACTGGTAATCAAAGTAATTCTTTAACTGTTTATTTGTGGGCGGAGTTATAATTGTTTGATTTATTTAATTCACCACTACTTTGTTCAAAATAAAATTATTTAGTTATACTTTGAATTAACATTGATTATATGGATGATTAAACTAACAATAATTAAAGTAAAAGCAAAGTAAATCCGTCAAATTAGCAACGACTGCATTTAAGTTACCGTTTTTTTTTTAATTACAACTTGATTCTGATTTTGCACGAATGCTTTTCTGAATCACCCGTCCCCAAGGGGTTAATGTATAATATACCCACAGTGGTAGTTACGAATAACTTGCTTAATTTCCACCACTTTTATTATTTCTATTTTAACACAAGTACCATAAAAGCATACCTGCCAACTTTTACATATTTTGCGTAAAATGCTATTTTCATGTTTGAAGTGGTAGTAAAATTAATGTTTTTCCATTCATTTATCGGGTTCTTAAAATTAATTAAAAATGTTTTGGCTAAAAATCTATGTAAATAAAGATATAGATTTATGATAATAATAGGATAGTGTGGATAAGATATTACAAAATTAGTAGTTAGACCTGAAAATAGCGACTATTTTTTCGCCACTTGGCGAGTCAACTAAAGTAAGTGGCCACTTAAATTAAATAAACCACAGATCACTTTCCTCTAACGTGTTTTTTTAATCATTTGATAATAATTGTAAATCGATGCAGAAATAGACTCTGGATAACAGAAATTTCAGTAAAATGCCCACTTTCTCAATTTAAAGTTTAATCCTCCAGAATCCATCAGTATCGGGTGGAAATATTGATATGGAAGGAGAGTTTTTAATCAATTGTAATGTATATTTTACCGTGAATGAATGAAATCAAGAGAATGTCTACTTTCCCCGGTGAATGTCAATAACTACATAGTTGCCTCGGTGAATGTCAGAAAAGTATTTGTTATATCCGATTTGATATTAATTAATTCGTTGATATTATTATATTTTTTCGATATCTGCTGCGGATAGATTAATAGAAACATCAGTGTTCTGAGTACCGGTTAAATGAATTCTGGTCAGTGACACTTGACCTTAAAAAAAATCAGTGCAGGGTATAACGGACAGTGGCACTGAACCTTAAAAAACATTGATGTAGAGCATACCAGGAGAATATATACCGGTCAGTGGCACTTAACTAGACCTAGTATATATTTCGGACAATTACCAAAGTTGCTATGTGATTGTCAACATTCACCGGAGGAAGACCACAACCACCAATTTCGATCATTCACCGTAACATATATTAGGGGGACTGGAAAAAAATGTAATTTTGGTGAATTTGATATTTGTTATGAAGAATTTAGTTTTAATTAGTAATGTTTTCCCTCTCGTTAGCAACAACCTTTCAATGCCGGATTGAAAATGAAATGAATGTAAAAAAATGAATTGGTTTTTAATTGGTTTTAACTGGTTTTTAATGAATTGGTTCGTTAAATGAATTGGTTTTAACGAATATTTAATGCGCCGAAACAACATTACTTTCTGGGCCCCCTAATAAATTAAATGTTTTTTGCCTTATATAAAATATTTTAAAATATATATAAAAATAATTTTAAAAACGTTCTTTAGAGTCAGTATGTTTAACTAAATTTTATAACATATTTATATAATTTTCATTGTAAAATTAAATTTTTATACTTATAATTTTCTTGAAAAATATAACTTAATATAAGAAAAAATAACTGCGCAAGAAGTGACTATTAAATGAAAAGCTACTACCGATATCGGTCTTTGACTCATCAGGTTTAAGGAAAAAAGTAGTTACTAAGTTATTAAAGTCTACAAGCCACTGCCTACAAGCAGAAAATTTAAATTTCCAGGTCTATTTAGGCCTATAATTGTAATTGAATGTTCCCCGTACTACAACTGAGGAAAGTAATCCTCAAATTAAAAATTGGCAGTTATGCGAATCTCCTGCCATGTGCATACCTGTGGACTTGTACGATCTTCAAAAAAGATTTTTTTCCAATGGTGGTGAAATAACTATGCAAGTGATATTATAGGTGAATAATTAATTCAGGGATACCACAGGTGACTATAAATGTAAAAAGTGGTAGAAACTTAATTCCTTTTTGTTAATTTATTATCTTCTTGTTATCAATAAATAAATATTGTAATTATGCTAGGTGGGAGATAAACTTGAGATTTCTCAGGACCACTAAGGGTTAAACATTCATGGGAAAGAGTGTTCATTACTATATCAATTCATAATGTAGTTATGTGATATACTGTTTCGTTTCATGACTATATAATTGGTGTTGAAATGCCTTAATTAACACTAAAAGTAGACATTTTCATCATGTTTTGCTCTTTTTCATTTAATTTTTGAAGATAAACATGTGCTTCGAAAGTCATATTTCTTACTTTTTCTAATTTGTTTCTAGGTATACTATATCAAAATTTTAAACGCTTATGTTGAGTATTAAAATAAATAATCATAGAAATACCTAAAACAGCAAAAAGGGCCATTTTTACCTCCGTGATAAAACCTTCCATTTTGAAGTTTCATGTCTGTTTTTGATTTTGCATAACTGAAAACCTTATAAAGATGATTTGTAGAACAGAAATTGAGGTAAACTGTATTTAAAAAAAAGCTAAAATTGGTTTCCGTTAAATTACATGGAATCTTAGATTCGAAGTTCGAAGTAGCTTAGAAGAGCTCATACTGAATTAACATAGGGCCTACATTCGAATAGGATAGGCAGTTCAACTCCTTTAATAAATTGAGATAAAACTTAATCATTAAATGATGTCAGGACTTAATTTTAGAATTAATGAGCAAAATAATAATAATTTCAACCTAATGCATATCATTTGAGCTACATTAAAAGCAATAAATGCTCACCTTCTCAAATAATGTGTCACTTAAAAAGAACAATTTGAAAATAATTTTGCTTTTACTAGCAAATAACTGGTTTTAAAATTAACGCTGAACTAATATTGCAATAAGCTCTAGCTTTATAAAATTACGAAATTGCGCTTTAAAGAAAGGGATATATCTACTCCATTAAGACTACTTAAAAATGGCGCTTTTAATTATATTCAAATAACGTAGGCAAGTGAATAAACATTTCAAAAGTATAAAATGCACCAAAACTCTGAATTTGCACGCTTTGGGTCTTCTGCCGAATCAGTTACTTTCCGTAAACGAACAAAATGAATTCCGCTATGAAAATCTTCATGATGATCTTCGTCGTGGCTGTTATCAGCTTGACTTGCGAAGGTAGTTTTTTTTTTACTTCATTTTACTGTATCAACCATTGTTGAAGCAGGGGTACCAACTGCTTAGCTTTCTGTTGAAAGGGCCCCGCACAAAACATGTGGAAATTAATTCTCCGTCATATTGGTTAAAAATTTAACATGTTGGTGTTTAAAACATTCTGAGAAAATGTTCCCATTACGTAAAATCCAAAAATGGATAGTTTCTTAGATACAGCGACTTAAACTTAAGAGGTAAAGGCAATTAACACTGTGGTGAAAGGTACTTGAAGTGCGCAGCACTGGCTAAGACGAATGCAAACAAGTAATGCTAGCTGAGCCGTAATGGCTCAGGGGATAGAGCGTTTGCCTTCCAATGAGGTGAACCGGGTTCGAATTCCAGCGATGGCTAGTCGATACGAATTCCGCATCCGGCTTGCACAGACCAAAGTGCCGAAGTGAAATATCCTCAGTGGTAGACGGATCACGGGTTTGAGTCCCCTTGAAGTCAGGCTAACTGTGGGAGGTTCTCGTGGTTTTCCCCTCCATGTTACGCAAATGAGGGTTAGTTCCAACAAAAAATTCTCCACTGAAACAGATTTCTCCCAATACTTGGCCCACTCTTGTCTTCTGAATTGTGTTCAAGATTACAAGGTTACGGAGTTGAACATTAGTAGTCGTAAACTCAAAATTTTGGTCGGCTGTTCAACGACGGTTATGAAATGAAACAAAAAAGTAATGCTAGCTACTCATTTAGCGTTGCAAATTCTGGCGTACTACTAGCTTTTTAATTACTTAATCTAACTTTCCGTACTTATTTAAAAGTTCATTATTAATTATTTTTTCATAATTTATTTGATTAATGCTAATGTTGTGACGAGATAAGGGAATTGTAAATTACTATTTTTGGTTTGAAGTTTCGTAACTCGGAAACTGTTAATTTTTGGACATTCTGTCTATCTCTAACAACTTTCGATCAGAATGTTTTGAGCTACAACATAATAAATTTTCAGCCAATTTGACAGATAATTAATTTCCATATAAGATTCGAGTGAGGTCTTTGGCAGACTTATGTGAGTAAAATTAAATAGTGATGTATAATTCATAATCAAAATAGTAAAAGATTTCACTTTACTTTAACAATTCTAGATATGAAATATTCTTACTAACAATATTTTATTTATTCCTGGAATAATCAGCTCTGGCAGATGTTTGATTAATTTTATATATTAAGACTTGTTTGATTAGTTTTATATATTAAGTCTCCTTTATATATTAAGGTTTGTTTATTTATTTATTGTTACGCATGCATATACAGGCTTAAAAGCCCTTGACAAATCAAAGAAAAAATGTAGTGAGTTAGAGAATGATATCACGAGGAAACATCCTCGATCACAGCTGGATACCAACCCGCTACCTCCATGCTGCAGCCACAGATCATTATCGTTAATTATAACTTGTGTTTGTATGTATGATTCATTTGTTTATGTGTTTTGGTGGTCAGAATAATTTTAAATTCAAAAATCAGAAAATTAATATTAATTTCATTACCTGTTTAAATATATAAGAATGAAATACTGTGTATAGTAAGTAAATGGGGATCAGCTATGTCGTCATGGGTGAAAGCCCTTATATAGCAAGACGGAAAAGAGAAAAACCTGGTACGCAAAACATTTCATTCCAGCATTTTTTTCGAAGCAAATGAAATATCTGTAACTATCAAGATTTCTTTTATAATTCTGGCATATATATAAAACTGCTTCTTCTACGAGGGAGCTGGAACAAAGNCGGTTTTATGCTGGCACGTATTTGTGGCAGTCGGCGCGAAAGGGTTAATGAAGATAAATTAAAGACTCGTTAATAGATTTGCATTGCATGGTTTGAAACAAAAGAAATGCGCAAGATAACATCTTAAAAAATATGTCTTATTTTTTTTAAAAAAAAGTTAGAACAATAAAGAGTGTTTCATAATCATTAACCTTAATGTATACTTCATACCTCTTGCCAAAAGTTAAATGAAAAAAGTTGGAGTCATAAATTAATATTTAAACGAAGAAGAAACAAAAACGCTATTAAAATCTCTCAAACAACTAGTAAGGAAACTGAAAGGAAAAACAAGTAAAACTTTGATGAAAAACATCACGATAAAACTTGGGAGGTTTTTCATATAATCATTTTTCAAATTCTCGCCCTTTAACACGTTCACGCCGGGGAAAAGTGAAAATACTGGTAGAAGAACTATTTCAATATTAGATAATGTTCGGGAGGAGTTAATCTATTCTCAACAATAACAATTCACGGTAAGGAAATTTATCATCAATATTTATCTGGGCGCCTGTGGCCGTTAGCGGCCTTTTTCCCATTCGTCCTGAATTGTGATCTTTAGGGTGGTTCTTTCTGGTAATTGGAATGCAATTGAAGTAAAAGGAATTTAAATATTTTGAATTTTAGATAAAATTACGTCACTGCAAAAGTAAGCTGCCATCGGACTGAGGTTTACGTCTTCTCTTAAGTTTTCGAAAGTAAAAATTTCGTTGAATCCTGCGGTGTCACAATTTATGGTTTTTTCAAAAAATCTGAAATTTAGCTTTGCAATATGATGATCTAAAGAATCTATGTTGAGGTCGCGATGTATGTTTTTATTTCTGATAAACCCTCTTGCTTTTGTTATTTTCCTGAGGATTTTGTTTTGGCATGCTTTGAGTTTTTTAAGGAGTGATGTGGAGATGTTGCACCAAGCTGGAGATGCATAAGTCAGGATGGATCATTGAGATGTAGAGTAAGCGTTTAAGTCTAAGTTCCATTTTGGGGTTCTGAAGAAGAAATTTATCAAGGTGAAGAAGCAATTCGATATGAAAATTGCATCCATTAAAAACAATTGGTAGTTATGGATTTTTATTATTCCCGGAAAAAAACTAAAAAATGAAATTTATTTGTTACCAGTTTTTACTCCGGTGCGCCGCCCGATGAGACAATATAGCGTGACCCACTGGTGGGTCACCCCGGAAAGAACGCGTTAAATAAAAATATGATCGGTTACCTTCAGTTTGAAAGAAGCATAAGCTAATTTGGAAGTGTACTTTTGTAGTAGTTCTTCTTAAGATAATATATTTTTGTCCGCATTAGACAGCGTCTTGTGTAGACGAGTTGGAAAATTAATAATTTACAACTACTGATGAAAAAAAGATACAAGTGCAATAAAAATATAACCAATTTTAGTCTGAAAAGATCTGATAATTTAATTTTCAATTGAAATTAATTATAAATCTTCACAAATCCCTATGCAGCAAGTTTTCTATTTTTTTGGATTATTTCTCTTAAATATTTACAGTAGTAAAAATGACATTTGATTTTTGATTTAGTAAACTTGTTTTGCAACAATTTTAGCCACCACTACATATAAACATATTAAATTAATATACAAGACAAGACAAGAAACGTAGCTTAATAAGTTTTTAACTTCTGTAGTTATATTTTTCACTAAAAGATTCTTTTAGTGGTAAAAAAGAATTAGAAGTTTGTGTTGAAGTTGGTAATTCCACAACTATGTGTTCACACTCCGTTAAGTCATTTTTTAATTTGAGCTCGTTATTCGTTAATTAAAGAAAAAACAAATTAAAATTGACTATTAAAGGCATATTCCTTCATAACGTAATACTATCTATTTTGAAAAACGATTAAAAGAATAGTTTAAGTTAAAGAAAAAACTGAAAAGTTACATTTCCACTATTAACCGGTAAACACCCAGATTGGTAGAATGGTAGAAATCCCATAAATCTCGGTGCGCTGCCGCGAAGCTGCATTATCCGATTCATCTGTAGTAATAAATCGATGATGAGGAGTAGTGAGGAGAAATGGAGATGGGAAGAAGAGGGGATGCTTAGCACCGAAAAATCGAGAGGGGGTTCGGTTAACACCCAGCGTCATATATTTAGGACAGTTCCTTTTTTCAAAGACATTCATTGTGGTGGGAAACTTTTTTCAGCATTTTCATTTATCTGGGTGAATTAAAAGATTCTCAGATACCGCAATGATTTAGTTATTTCTGACTAGATCTAGAATTGTAAGGAGCAGGTACTTTTTGATCTATCAATGACTTTTTGAATGCCCTAACAGTAGAAAAACCAATTAATTTCGGTAATATATTTTACCACTTTTTCCGTAAAACCATCTTTTGTTTCATTTCACTATACAAATTCGGGACAAAACGGGTTAACCTTGTTTTTTTTTAATTTGCTTTTTAACAATCTTGTGCTTTGTCTTGTAACTACAAATGAAAGAGTAAAACAGTTGTGCCTACCTGCCACAGAAATTTTAAATGGTAAATAACAGACATAATCCGTTGTCTACAACAGCCTCTTCTCTCCTATTTATAAGTNACAAGACCTAAGAAACGTAGCTTAATAAGTTTTTAACTTCTGTAGTTATATTTTTCACTAAAAGATTCTTTTAGTGGTAAAAAAGAATTAGAAGTTTGTGTTGAAGTTGGTAATTCCACAACTATGTGTTCACACTCCGTTAAGTCATTTTTTAATTTAAGCTCGTTATTCGTTAATTAAAGAAAAAACAAATTAAAATTGACTATTAAAGGCATATTCCTTCATAACATAATACTATCTATTTTGAAAAACGATTAAAAGAATAGTTTAAGTTAAGGAAGAAACTGAAAAATTACATTTCCACTATTAACCGGTTAACACCCAGATTGGTAGAATGGTAGAAATCACATAAATCTTTATCCAAATTTGCGCATTTGCAATATATTTAAAATAAAAAATTGGTAATAATTTTAAATAATAATTTAGCTCTGAATAAATTCGTGCAACTTTTTTCAAAAAGGTACTTTTACCTAACTAAAAAGTGTTACAATCTTTTGTAAGTTAATAAATGCCGCAGTGATTTATTAATCTATTAATTATGATCGTTAATCTATTTATGTAGTTTCCTCCTGTTATGTTAGCCCCTTATATCTTTGCATATTTATTTAAATGCGAATTAGGTTCAGAAACTAGCCATGTTTAAAAAAACTCTCCTGTACTATCAAGTTTAATATCTTTTATTATAATTTTTTATTAATTTGACAAAGTAGATGCCAATATTAAAGTAACTTTTTTCTTTTTAGCCCAGCGTCCCAAAAGTAACAACATAGGTAAGTCTGCTAATATTGTTTTAACACTTTAGTGCAATTTATAGAGTGTATTTAATTTTCTCAAATACAAGAGATTTTACAAAAATTAGATATTTTTACATAAAACTGGAGAAAATATAACTGGAATATCTATCATTAAATGAAAATTCAAAATCACACAAGTAAACTAATGAGCTATACCAAAATATAACGCTCTTCATAGTGTTAATTAAAGTCAAACTTTTTTAACTCTACGACGACATTGGGTAAAATTACATTTTTAAAAAAAATTAAAGTTGCAGTGTATTTTAAAATCCGTATCATTAGATATTTTCCTTAGTTTTTTACTATTAATCTTCATTAATAAAATCTGTTATAAAATTGTAAGTTTAACGATAGAGAGGTATTTCTTATAGTTTGTATTTAATCGAATGCTATTTAATATTAAATGTAAGAAAATATGCTCCTCTGAATAAATACTGTTTTTAATTATACATATAAAGATAAAATGTCTTAATATATGAATATATATGAAAATGTAAATCACAAAAAAAAATTTTTTTTTTTTAAGGAAACTCACAAGGTAGAGGTAAGTAAGCTTTAAATCAAGCATAGTTTACAATCTATGATTTTCTTAAACGCAAGTAGAAACGGAAATTTTAGATCATGCTAATATACGAGGGAAAATATAGTAAAGTTGCTTATTTTTAGAAACAAAAAAATCAATTATTTTTTATGATATTTAAATAACTAAAAAAAAATTTCTGCATAATTTTCAATTTATTAAACTCCTTTTTCAAGTTTTTATGCCCAAATCTCAAAGAAAAAAAATCTATACTAATTTCCATTTTAGTCTAAAGCTGTAGCTTTTATTTCGATGTATAATCACTTTACTATACCTAGACACCTAACATTTTCAGGTTATGGAGGATCTAGAGGTAATTATATATTTTTTTTGTTATTACCTTTAACCTAACATTATTACAAGGACACAATATTTTTAACAATACATAATATGCACTGAAGTATTAAAGAAATACAAATAAATACTTTTGCAGGTTCAGGAGGATATAGAGGTAAGATCATTACTTGTTATAGTATGAAATAAAAAGATTAAAAGCATTATAATATCATAGAATTACTATGTATAATAAATTAATGATAGTATGTAAATGAATTAACTTATAGGTTCAGGAGGTTATAGAGGTAAAAGCATTTTATTGACTAACTTATTTTTTATTAAATTAAATAAAAATATTACTAGGTTTCAGTAACGCATTATACTAGACAAAATTTACTTTCTATTTTCACATATATATTTAGAACTAAATAATCGTACTATAATTCCGTACCTGTTATACTAGTAATCATATAGAGCAAGTCGTACAAATCAAAGCGTTCATATTTAGTGAAAGACGAATTGATTTTCTATTTCGTTCCGGTACATGCCAATACAGACTCAGACTGTTTTGAATGTATTGTAATCGAAATCCGTGATCGAGCAATTTGTGTTGTTTATCTTACATTATATTGCGAAATGTTTATGTTAGATGATCAAGGAAGCATGTTGTTTTACCTGGGACATCAAGTTACAATGTTATTTTTGCTTGAAAATCATATGACGTTTCACAGGAAATAACAGGAAAGACTAGAGTCTTCGGGTAGATAGGAGACTGGGCGAAATTTATTTTCTATAGAACTCTTCACTTCACCTTTCCAATTATTTTTAAAAAAAATACATAGATAACTGTAAAACAATCTCTGCCAGACATTTTCGAATTAATAATATTAAACGGATGGAGTAAAATTTTATTTTATTTAATAACCATTGTTGAACAACCGACCCAATTCTAAATTTAATACTACCAATGTTCATCTCTAGCTCTGTGATTTTGAATCCAATCCAGAAGAAAAGGAAACTCCGGGATCAAGCATTGGGACAAACTTGCCTTCGTGGAGGAGTTTCTGATGAAACTAACCATCATTTGCGTTACATGGAGTGGAAAACCACGAATCCCTGATCTGTCTACCACTGAAAACATTTTACGTCAGTACTGTGGCTGGTGTGAGCCAGGAGCAGAAATTTTACCAGCCAGCCACCTCTGGGATTCGAACCTGGCTCACTTTATTGGGAGGCGAACGCTCTATCCTCTAAATCACTGCGATAATTGGATCAATAGCTGACCAAAAAAGATCCAGTTATCCTGTCCTGTGTAAACTAAGTTATGCGTTCAGCGTGATAACAAGAAGTTTAAGAAAAACTGCAATGGGGTGCGGAAAAAGTAGTATTTTCAATTTGAATGCAAAATATTGCATTGTGAATATTTATTGTAACACCATAAGTTTGTCTTTCAAAATCTGGTAAAATGAACACGTTCAGGTCTTCATAATTAATTTTAATTCGGTGTTTATTTTTTTAAATTTTTCACATTAACTTAAATTTTATCTGATAAACGTGTTATTTTATTTTCATTGACTACTATTTGATATGCACTCCTGACAATAACTTGCTTTTTTTAAAGGAGGATATGGTTCTCGCAGTAAGTATGCCTATGTTGAATTTACTTCGAATCAGTATAAATTAAAACCAAGCTTTGCAATGTATAGTTATAAACTAAAAATTCAATAAAGTTTTGAATAGAATCTTAAAAATCAAAACTTTTGATGGAAGTTAAAAGTAATTTAAAAAAATCAAGATTGTATTTTTTTACATTAAATTATTTTCTGGCTCATGTATGATAAAATTATTCTCTATGAAACATTGGTATATAAACTTAAAAGTGTTTTGAAAACGTTTTTAAACCGAATGGCTAATTGCATAAATAAGATGAAAAAATAGTTTATTTATATAAAAAAATGTCATATACATTTCTATTTCGAATAACTTCCCTGGTTTAACTTTCCATCTCATAACTTCTATCTAATATATTTATAACTTCATAAACAATCAATGTTTCTTCAAATCTAACATTTCTTTATTCGAAAATATAAATAAAAGAACTAATTCACTTCCAAGAGAACAACCTTTATAAAATAGTAAAAGTTTTATAAATAATAGATGAAAATCTTTTTCAAAATGTTAAAAGGTTGGCCACAACTGGGAAAAATTTATAAAGTGGAGATATTCATTTACTGTGACTGTTGAAGATTTTGAAGGTTTTATTTTTACTGGTCAGTTAAGTGATACAGTGTTAACATCTTAATATGTGTCCTTCAAATCACAAATTTAATTTGGTAGACAATAACTATTAAAAACAATTTATTCCTTCAATTTTCTCCAACCACTTTAATTTTTCCCGGTTGTTGCCAAGCTGATTAATAACTTAATATTTACAACTTACTAACTTCTTTCAGATCAAAATTCATACCCAGGACGTGGCACTAGAAACCAAGGTAATCAGACTTTCGAACGATATTTTTAGTTTTATACTTTTTTTCCTTGAATAAGATTATTTCACAGAGCAACAACTACATATTACCAGCCGAAATTACATTTTCTAAGTAATGGTAAAAAAATTATTTTCTTTCTTTAATGTCATGAAAATTTTCGCTTTTTTATTTTTTTATCGATATACACAAATAGTTTTAGATTAATTCCAAGTAACATTTGTTTTAAACCTTATTTGTGCCCAATTTTTATATATTTTATTTGGCGGCATAAGGTATTTTTTTATACAGGCATAATTAAAAATGTTATTTTTTTATACATCTTCTTCATTTTTTAATATATATTTTTAAAAAAAAATTGATATACATGGTATCTTGATTTGGCACAGCTGACACATAAAATATTTGAGATGTACCAGGTCCTTTTTCAGGGTCTGGGTACCAAGTTGAAAATTGAATCTTTTGCTGTCAATTTTAAAAAAAAATGAAGGTTGTATAATTTTCTTTCGAACAAGTAATTTACAAGATATGGTCCCAATGAGCGCTCACATAAAAAAAGCATGTTTTAATTTTTATAATTCTTCAAACTAATTTAAAAAAAAATCTAAAAGAAATTTCGGATGACTATCAATGACCAAAAATACTTAATCCACATATAGGTATATAGGTTGAACCCATTCATATCCGGTATTTTATTATTTAGTGAATGATGCTTAATAGACCTTATTTTTGTCCTTTTTTAGGAAATCAAGGCGGAGATACCTCTCAAAGAAGTGGACAAGATGCATTTAATGTCAACTTTGGATCGGGTGGACTTAATAATGGACAAACCAACCAAGGATCTCAATCTGGCAGACAGCGTAATCTCAATGGTGCTAACTAGAAATGCTTGCCTGGAATTATTGAATATTAAAACTGGATTTAATCGTATTTTTTAAGAATAAAATATGATTAATAAAGATTTAAAATTATGTTTTTGTTATAACTTGATTCATGACAGTACAGCATAGAACCCAAATGCATGATTTATTTGCAGTAGTTTAGATCTAAGGGAAGCAGTTATTCAACAATGAAATTTCTTTAATTCACAATATCAATTATTATTAAATGAAAAAAAAACTACTTATACTTAGTTTCATACCTGCCAACACTCCCGGATTTTGCGGGAGATTTTATTTTCATATTTAAAGTGGTAGTAAATATATACTATTTTTTCTTTTATAAATTTAATTTTTATATGATTTTGATCACCACTATTCTTACAAAAATTAAGCTTATATATTAATATGCGTTACTATCATGGTTGTCAACTTAATTTTTTTCAAATACAAAGTACTTGTTTGCTTAAAATTGAAGTTTTAATTCAATTTTAATACCACTGGAAAAAATGATAATGGAAGGGATTCAAAGTTGGCAGGTCTGTTAGTTTTTATATTTTGGTAAAATTATAATTCCGACAATCTAACAGATTTTTGTTAGTAGCTATTATACTGTTTTTTTATTATTATTAAACAATACCAAAATATATTTTTGCTTGTCAGAAAAAAAAAGTATCACTCGTATCCCATCTGCGTCAAAGGGTTAATTTCACTCAAACTTATTAAATAAATATGTTGGGCCAGTTATAATAGTTTATTGGTCAGTTATATAAGTTATAATAGTTAGGCAGTAGGGTAACTCCATGATGTCGGACTCGAAAAATGAACACAAATTTCTTAAAAAAGCTCTGTTTCAAAATATAAATTAAATTTAAAATCCTCTAATTTTTACATCATATATTTAGTACATCATAACCTGTTGGTGTTCGTCGCAAATCACACGATAGCAAAAAATGAGTAATAATTAACAAATTGTCTAAACTCTTTTAATTTAATTGTAATATAAATTTAACCATCACTGAATTTTGAAGTTGACATTTGAATAAGGAATTCTAGGCAGTTCTGAACTTGTAAAATATGCTTTATAATTAATTTGTAGTTTTTTATTTTGGTGTTGGACGTAAAGCTTTTGGTGTGTAATTCTTCAGGTTGTAAATTCTTAAGGTTCCGTAAATTCTTCAGGTTGGATATAAGTTTATGTTAAGGATAACAATTATAAATATTATGAAAATTACTATACTTTTTATCTAAATTCTAGAATTTTTTTTTCCAGTAAATAGCTTGCAGTGTATAATTACAACAATGTAAATACAACTCATATTTAAGCAACATTTCCTTTATTAATATATATACTTCCTTTTCGACAACATTTTAAAAACCTCTGTACAGGAGAGTTAGAAAAAAGTGGTGTTAGTAAATCAAAAATCACAATTGATAAACTAGCACTTTCAAATCTATATTTGCTGTCCGGAGCAAGTTGGCATCTCTGGGCGTCATATACAGATCTGTAATAATCATTTCCGCTTACTTTCCTTTCCTTTATTTACAAAACTTGGGCACCTTGGCCACGTAGCGGCCCTTATCCCATACAGCTAGAAATTAGCAAAGAGTTTGAAGTAATACCATTTTTAATTTAGCAGTCGATGTGGTAGCTAATACAAAACTACAAGCGCTTTGCTTGGGGAATGTAACATTCGCATACCTGCCAACTTTTAATCCTTTCAAGGATGATATTCCCCAGTGGTAGTAAAATGAAATGTAAATTGCAATTTTAGGAGGAAAAATTGCTGTATTATGAACAAGCTTATGCGGACTACTAGAAGAGTATTACATATTAATCTATATGCTTAATTTTTTTAAAAATAGTGGTGAATTAAAAATATTATAATTTAAATTTATAAATGCAAGGAATATATATAAAGCATACATTTTACTACCACTTTCAATATAGAAATAAAATTTTACGCCAAATGCGTAAAAGTTGGCAGGTATGCATTCGAATATCTGATTCATCGAATCTAAGGCTCCTATACTATCAGAGCTGACCTATCAAGCAATATTGGAGCAAACAAGTTCGCAAGTTAACGTTATTTTAGTATTCGTTATGTTATTACAGAGATGCCAACTACGCTAATTTAAAAAACGGTAAATAACTACAAAGTAAATTTTGCAAATAGTTGATATTTGCTTGCTTTTAAAAATGTAAAGCATGTTATAAGTACTGTAAAGTGGTGAATTATATAAGCCTACGCATTGTTTAAAAATAGTGGTGGATTAAAATCTACTAAATCGAACTTAAGAAACCAAGAATTACAATTAATAAACTACCACTTGAAAATATTTATTCGATGTGCTTATGTTAGCTCTCTGTTCCAACAGTAAATGATAAGTCGGCCTGTCTAATTCAGGGGCTCTAATCGAATCTAAATTGACACATATTGACGTATTTGAGCATGCCTACCAACTTTTAATCCTTTTGAGGGTGATTTATTCCAGTGGTAGTAAAATGGAATGCAAATTACAATTCTAGGGAGAAACATATGTTGTATTTTTCGAAAGCTTCAGTGGACTACAACAACAGTATTCCATATAAATATATATTCTTAATTTTTTTAAAAATAGTGGAGATCATAAAGATTATTAAATTAGTTTTAAATGCAAGGAATATATAGAAAGCATACATTTTACTACCACTTTAAATACAGAAATAAAATTTTACGCCTAATGCGTAAAAGATGGCAGGTATGCATAAGTATGAACATAATGTGAAATATATGTACGTAAGTAGACATGTATAAATATTAACATAAATTGATAAATCTCTTCAATTTCTAAAATCTATTCCTTCATATAATATTGATTTATTTGCATTTAGTGGTAGTCAAAATCATATTAAATTAATTTAATATGAATTAATTACTACACATAAATTAATTAATTAATAAATTACGCAATAATCATAATACCCAATAAATTACGCTATAATAATAAATTACACATGAATTAATTAATTAATGCATAATTTATAAATTAAGCCTAAAAATATATTTATAAGAGTCAGCCTCATTTTAAATTTAAAAATGAAATACTACAGATAATCCATAATTGTTGGCAGCCATGTTTATGTTGACCATATTTCTCTTGGCATTTCCTGATTAAATTTAAATATAAAAAATTCCCCCGCAAGGTCTTAAGCACAAATTCCGTTAAAACCAATCATACAATAACACATAAATTTTACTTCCACAAAAAATACTTTTTCCGCAAAAGGTACAAGTTAGCATCCGTACCGTACAGATCTGAATAAAAATAGTGTTAAATTGGAAATATAATTAAGGAATCTTATATGAAATATTTCCTTACATTTTGAAAGAACTAGTATCATTTTATACTAGCCTCTGCACTTTATTGTATCGTTATTGTAACGCTCTTTCTCTTCTTTTACTATTCTTTTAGTTTTGTGTAGCGGCAGAAATCAATTAATTCAATACTATAAGAAGCAAATACTATAAGAAGTACGAATAGTATAAGAAAAATATAAAATTTAGTGAAAAATCCTTCACAATTTTTCTTGCTTAAAGCTGTGAACGATTTCTTATTCTTCATTGAATTTAAATAAATTAGTCATTTGACACTGCTTTTATTTTTTTCAGAAAGGCGAAGAACTTATTTCAATTTAAGATTAAACATACGCTTTTCAAAATTTTTTAACATACTTTGCTTTAAACAGTGTTTCCCAAAGTGTGGTACGCGTATCCCCAGGGGTACGAGAACAGTTTAGCAGGTGTACGCGTTCTTAGAAGAAATATCTTGCAAAAGACTAACATTTCAAAATTTTTTATTTAAAAACAAAGGTAGCCATGAAAATTTACGATTACGTATTTTTCTATTGACTAATTTTTAGCAGAGTTAACAGTGAATAACTAGTGGAGTCAACAGCCAGTTGTGATTTTTAACTTTATTTTCCATTTGAAATAAACATATTTTTAAAAAAATACATTTCTTTTTTGGTCAGTGGTACACAGCGTTGCGAAAAATTTACAGAGGGTACACAAAAGTCATAAGTTTGGGAAACACTGGCATAGGGAATTATTCCAGTTTCTTTGAATAGTGCTTACTGTTTCACATAATGCTTGAAATCCTAATTATGCAAAAATCTAATATCTTAAGCTTTTTTTAAAAATTCAAATACCTTTAACAACTCTGAGGAACAAACTTTTTGTTGCATTTATACTAGTACTTGCGTTAACGTAATTCGAGAGTAGGGATTTCATATCTAAAATTGGTTTTGTTCGGAAAGCTACAGATTTTTCTCAAAATGATATTTTCAATTTAGTTTGTTTAAGTATGTTTTTGTTTGTAGCTTTTTTTAAGCAACACTAGGGAACGATTTCCTTTTTTTTAAAAAAACAACACTGGAGAACAAATTTTTTGCTGCTTGTAAACAAGTACTTGATTTTCTCTAATTCAGGTTCGAGGCTTTCAAATCTGAAATTAGTTTAGCACAGAAAACTGTAGATTTTTCTCGAAATTGTGTTTTTAGTTAAGTATTTTTTTTAAAGCAATATTGGGGAAAAAACTTTTTGCTATATATATGCAAGTACTTAATTCTGCTTAATTCGAGTGTAGGGATGTGATATCTGAAATTAGTTTTGTTCAGACAGATTTTTTTTCCAAAATGTTTTTTTTATAGTTAAGTTTGTAATTTGTCTGTTTGTACAAGTTTGTAGGGAACGCGGAGTTTTATATACATGCATATACACTTGTCTGCTCTTTTGAAATTAACCCTTAAGACAACAAGCATATGATCTTAACGTATCACATCATAAACTAAAGTGTATTATCACCTTCTTCCTACCAATACCTACGTTGTTGAGAAGTGGGGACATCGTGCTGAGTGATGGGTATTCCATCGAATAAATTTTAAAAGATATTGGTTAGGAAAATATTATAAAATTGCATGAAATATATCATCGATAGAGAGAATCTGATTTCAGAATCGAAATCAGTGATCCAAAACTATTAAACATCCGTTCAAAAATCTCATTAAAATGAAGAAAAAAAATACCCTGTGTATTTCTTAAAATGTCATTAAAATTATTTTACTCATAACCATTACTAAACTTATTATTTTCATTAGGCTGATTTAAGAAACATGACTTTAAAAACTAAAATTAAATCTTGGCTTTTCCTGTTAAAGTCTGAAAATTTTGACTTATAACAGAATAAAAATGCTTTCGTATCTTAAAATAAGTAATTTAAGCCTACCATTTAGAAAGAATTTTGGTTTATGGCTAATAGCTCTTTCAAAATATAAAGTGAACCACCTTAACATTAAAATATTGTTGAAATATTATAAAATTACATAGTTATGAAATCAGCTGCTACTTTTAAAAAGGAAATTTAAAATTCAATTTCAAAAGTCAAATAGAATAATCATATGAATAAATATTTCATAATAAGCATTTGGTATAAATAATGCTAAAACTCTGAAATTGTACTAATTGGATTTCTTGCTGAACCAATAGCACTACCGAACGAAATGAATTCCGCTATGAAAATATTTATGATGGTCTTTGTCGTGGCTGTTATCAGCATCTGCTGTTGCGAAGGTAAGTTAAATGAATTGTTTTAATAATAAAACAGTAGACTAATCGTAAAGATACTGTTCCCAGAAGAAAAACGAAGTCGAGCATCACTGGCTGCAGTCAGGAAGCAATTGGGTGACCACTTTGATCAGCATGCGTGTGGATTGAGGGTGCGTGGTATCAGCCTCGTTGAACTGTTCTACCGTAACGTACTCTACTTATCACGCAGGTAGTTGGGAATGCGAAAATGGAGGAACCATCCCCTCTATAGAGGATCAAAATTGTCTTTAGATCATCCTTACGGATGTTTCCCAGATCGTCACCTATAGCGCATTTTGCCATCACCTCCAACATCAGAAAGCCTCCACACGGCTTTTTAGAAGTAGTTGTGCTCATGAACCCAATTTCTATTTTAGTAGTAATTAAGAGAAATTTATCATATATATTTGAGTATTGAATCTGTTGTGGTTGACAAGTTAATAAGACAAATGAATTATATTAATTAACAAATAACATAAATTAAACAAATTTTTAAACATATATTTGCTACCACTTTCTTATTTTTAATATATTTTCTATTAAATGGCTCCTTCGTAAAGTAGTTTATCTTCATAGTGGTCTGATCGGACTACCTTTAAGAAACCGTGTGGAGGCTTTCAGTTACAGGAGGCGTTGGCTTAGGTCTTGGATGTTGTCTTCTCGCTCTGTGTTGTCTTCTATTGTGTGATGCAGCTCGTCCTCTTAACGGTTTTCTGTGGCAGTGTGGCATGCGTAATATTGGTCGCTTCTGTGACTTAGGTTCACAGGTAGGGACTAAGAATGCAAAAATATGTGTCCAATAAAATTCATAATTTTATTAAAATAGCCTAAAATTAGCGATTTTTTACAGTTTATTATTGAAAGAGCGCGCAGTTAACATTTTTGCATTTAATATGAATAATTTTAAAAAAAGTAATTGTAGTTGTTACGATTGATTAATTTAAGAGAAAACAAATAAATAAAAAGAAATTGAGCTTCGACAACTTTTACATTTTCATTTGCCTGTGGCATCCCTGTCAATTATAAACTAAAATTTATTAATTATGTAAAATTTTATGTCATGCGATAAATATCATGCTTTGAAATCAAACAGTTGATGCATTTTTGGTAACAAAATTGGTAGCTAACAGAAAAAAATTTCCATATAATTTATATGCAAACCTGCAGCCATATTTTTCAAAAACGCACTTTTTTTATCAGTGAAAACTAAGAGTCCGTCAAATAAACAAAAAACTACCTTTTTTCATTTTTTTTTCATTCTGATTCTGTACGAAAGGTTTTACATAGAAACATTAGCGTAATGGCGTATTGAATCTTGTAGTTTAAAGTTTCAAAACAAAATTTTTAAACTAACACGGCGAATCAATAATTTAAAAAAAATATGTAGATAAAATCTATTTGTTGGCTACTTATGCTTATAGATGTCTATATGTATATATATACATACATAGTAGTTTCGTTTTCAAAAAATTCTGCCGAACTTAATTGTTGTTTTACTAACACTTTGATTTGTAAAATATTTACAGGGCTGCCAACTTTCTACGCTTTTTGTAAAAATATATTCCTGTATTTTCCACGCCACTACTTATAAATGAATTAAAAATTTTATGCAACGCCACTTTGTTCCAGCTCCTGCCATGGTGAGGCTTTTTAAAATGTTGGCAAAATTACCAGGAACTTTGAAAGCTTTAGTTTTTAAATTTCTACCACTCTACAAAATATTTTGCAAAAAGCGTGGTTGTTGGCAGGCCTGCATTTATAACTCATCCTTCACGAATACGTTAAAGAATTTTTTTAAGATTCTCATTGTTGTTGTAAGATTAAATATCCTTAAAAATAACTGCTCTCGAAAAATTAAAGTATGTTTATGGAAATGTTTTGTCTGAAAGCATAGTTAAAATAATTATTTGTTCTTACAGCACAGGCTCCCAGGATTAATAGAAATAGTAAGTTACTTCATTTTAACATAATTATATTTTTTTCATATTTATTTTTTTAATAATTAATTCTTGAAGCCAATAGTTTTTATAGGATAAAATTCATTTAGAAATAATGAATCATTTTATTTTCGATTTTAAAATAAATTTAAGTGAAAGCTGTAATAATAAAATAAGAAATATACGTGTTTTTCTTAAAATTCCAAAACCATTTGTGTTATTGCCCTTAAATTGCAATGGTTAAAATTAGATGTAAATTCTAAAAATCATTTTAAAATTTCTATTTTGTTGGTAGGGAGGATTTATATGGTTTATAAGATTTATGTGATATTTGATTTATGTGATTCTTAATATTTTTTATCCTTTAAAAATCTGTTTTAACCAATGTAATTACAATTTATTCTATTTTTCCAAATTTATTCCTAGAATAAATTGTAATTATAATTTATTCTATATTTCCCAATTTATTTTTCTATTTTCCCATATTTATTCCGATTCCAATATCCAATAATTTTACAGGATAATATTTTTCTAAATTAACTGAATAATTTATTTGTTATTTAAAAATAAATTGAAGAGAAAGCTATAATAACGAAAAGAAAAGTTAGAGTGCTTTTCTAATAAATCAAGTAGATCTTGTGGATCAAGTGGATAATTCTATATCAAGTGGATAATTTTTTTTTATCAATTAAATAGTTTTAAGCGATGTAATTAAAGTTATTTTCATAGATATTTTTCAAGCAATTATTTCCAAAATACAGTAATTTTCAAAGGATATTAATTATCTTAAAATAATTAAATAATTTATTTGTTGTCTTAAAATTGCGAAGAAATCTATAGTAATACAATGAAAAGTTTGCCCATCTCGTTCGTAATCGTAGAACCATTTGTGAGATTGCATTGAATAAATTTTGACCCAAATTCTAGAAATGATTTAAAAATTTTCAATTCGTTTATTCACGTGAAGCTTTTAAAAATGAAATATTCTCATAGGTTAAATATTAGGGATAGTTAAAACTTTATTGTCGAAAACTTAGAAGACAACATCGATGATGTTTGCTACTTTAATGTTCTGTTTAATTAAAACCGAACTTCATTGACAGTTTTTCACGTTTTATAATATTTCTAATTATCTTTGAGTAATATAGTAATATAGTAGGCAATCATAGACAAATCAAATATATATATATATATATATANTGTATATATATATGTGTGTGTGTGTGCGTGTGATATGTGAATATATGTGTGTAAAATGTGATAATGAAACATCTAAATCCACAATGTTTATCTAAAAATATATGCCGAGTGATTTTAGCAATAATTACACGGAATCATTTATTATATTCGTAACAATCATGATTGGATAATTTCTTTGAAAAACGCAGTGGAAACGAAGTAGCTTTGCTACCACTTTTTAAACTTTTGCAGGGATTGCAGTGATTTAAAAAACAGCGTATTTTCACGTGATCCGCTTGCAGTGTGTTAATACCGTAGTAATGATTATTTACGTTTTATTTTATGCCGTAAGAAGCTCTTAAACTAGGAAGTTATAAAATTTAAATTACATATTATTAATAAATTACTAATTTTGAATAATAATCTATAATTTATTAAAAGAAATTCTATTTACTGAAAAAGTAGTAAAATGTTTTATAGTTAATGGAAAAATACCATGCATATTTCTTACATTTCATTTTAATTGGCAATGTATTATTAATCTCTATATTATATCTTAAAGCATCTCATTATACTAAAAATGGTAATCTTAATGATAAAATTTTAATCATTAGCTTTAATGTAATTCATTAACTTTATCATTAGCTTTGTTGTTAGCTTTACTGTTAGTTTGATTTCCATTTGTAAATAACTTCAGCTTTCTTGAAGTGGGTTTCAATAAATTTGGTAACCATTTGTTAAAAACGCATAAAAGTTATAAAATATATCATTCCTTTTGAAGTTTGTAGCAGTTATAAAATTTATTTTATAAATAATGAAAAATAAATGTCAATAAGTTCCGAATAATCGTGGTAAATATGCTTACCACCAAAAAAAAATGGCATTAAAATTTAGATAAATTTTTTTTAAGCTAAATTCGTTTTTTTTCCTTATATCAATTACGATTCTTATATCAATTTCAATTCCAAAAATAATTTACCTTTACTAGAAATAAATGGCCTATTAAAGGACTTAAAAGCATAGCGAAAGTTTCCGAAAATCAGTAAATTTTAGTTTGTAGTTCTCTATAGCTTTTTTAGAGTATTTTGTTAAATCCGGAGCAGTTGACATCTCTGCAGTTAGGCGGTGTTGAGCCTTTTTAAAAATTTGGCAAAAGTACAGATAATTGGAAAATTTTAGTTTGTAATTCTCAACAGTTTCTTAGAATATTTTGTCAAATCTGGAGCGGTTGGCGTGTCTGCAATTAGGGAGTGTTGAGGATTTGAAAAAGTTGGCAAAAGTTATCGAAAATCAGCAAATTTTAGTTCGTTATTCTCTACCATTTTTAAAATGCTTTGTTGAAACTGGAGTAGTTGGCATATCTGTCAACTATAAGCAGAAATATTTTTTTGAAGCTTGCTGGAGCATCAAAGAATTATCATGCAATTATATGCTTTAATTTATTTAAATACTTTATTTAAATTTAATTATTTTCAATGAGTTCACTAGAGATTCAACAAGTAGTTTGGTTTCCTTTAGAAACTCTACCATTGAAGTGAGTTTAGGATAATATTTAAATCTTGAGTTCCCTTGTCTTCTGCGTCAGATTAAAATTTACAGAGTCACTTAGGTTTGATGTTGATATGCATGTAAATATAAATTAAAAATATGGAATTTATAAGAGTATGCTAATGGTGATTGATATTGTGAAGACATTATCACAATTTCATAACTAACTAACGAAAATTAATGTGTTCAACATGCTGAAAAAAATTATATTTATTAAAGCTTTTATAACCCTTAATAAAATACTTGAACTAATACCTATAAAACTAGAGTTATTGCATACGTTATTAAACGCAGTTGTTAAATGGAAAATAATCTTTATTTTTATAAGTTGATGTTAATATTTATGTTTTTTATTTAGGTGGAGATGGTTCTCGTTGTAAGTACGCTAAAAAATATTGATTCATAAATAAATTTGTATGTAAACTTCCCATTTGCTGACAATGTAATCTAATATCTTTCAGATCAAGGATATGATTCAGGACGTGGACCTAGAAATCAAGGTGAAATGATTTGGCGAGAATGTTTTAAAGATTTGATTTAGCGTCAATTCACGACCTCCATGAAATTTTTCTAAGACCAGAGGGAGTCCTGATAAATACTTTATTTACATAATTTCCAAAAGAAAACCTTTTCAAAATTTACAAAATTTTTTACGACCGTTTATTATGAGCAGAAGTGTAAAATGCGGAACCAAAAATGGATCACCCTAAACAACTTTTGACCTTTTGATCGGATCTTCACGTTCTGGAACTCAGTCTTAAGGGTTCAATAGAGTGACTTCAAACGTACTAATTAATTAGTTCAAACGATATTATAAGTTACGAAATGAGACAGGAAAATGTAATTTTTGTTGAATAAACGTACCCTTGTTTAGATGGATTCTGACTTCTGACCCCCAAAATATAGTCACAATCTAGGTAACGTGGTCCCATTAGGAGGGCGATCCAATGTTTGGACCCTTTAAAAATAACTTTAATTTTGTGTAATATGCCATATCTGAACAAATTTAAAGCGAATTCAAAAATATTTGCACACAATTTTAAAATTCGTTTATCCAATGATATGTCTATGCAAAAGTAACTTTTAGGAAATATTTATGTTGCATTATTTTATTTAATAATAATCGATAAGCTTTTGAACTGTAAAGGATAGAATTCTTTTTACATAATTTTAAAGAATTTAATTTTACATGACAAAATACGAAAATCCAGCAAAATTGGCTGAATAGTTCCTGAGAAATCAAGTTTTAAATATTCGAATGTTCAATTCGTATGTTGTATGCTTTATTTCCGCTCTCATTATTAATTATTTTTGTTAAATTTATCCTACCTTTCAAAAATTAGTTAGAAGTTATGCTGCTTTTTATGAATAACGATTTAGTTCTTAAGTGGTCAAAGCCGCCTTATATTCGACATTTTACTTTCACACAGTAGGTTCAATGCAATGTATAAGGCCTGAAAAATCCTTTAATTTTTATAATCCTCGTTGCAATCATATTTAAAATCAATTTAATACAGCTAATTATATATTTATTTTAAATAATATAAGTATAACTTTAGTTATGCTAGTTGAGAAATAAATTTGAAATACATTTGGATCATTAAGCTTCAATATATGGGTTTTTAGGAAACCAAGGAGGAGATACTTCTCAAAGAAGTGGACAAGACGGATTTAATGTCAATTTTGGATCTGGTGACCTAAATAATGGACAAAGAAACCAAGGATCACAAGCTGGTCGACAGGGAAATCGTAATGGTGATTACGGCTGGTGATATCACCAGGTGCTTGTCTGTGAATTAAAAAAACAGTATTTCCATTAAAATCGAACATTTGTTTTAATTTCCAAAAAGTAAAGTATTATTGAGCATTTCAATATTGTTTTCGTTATTTCTTTTCAAACATTGAAACATATGACAAATACACCATATTAAGACCAAACTTCGATATTTTATTTAAACACAATACATATATATATATATATATATATATATATGAAATGAGCCTTTACACCTCCTTCTCTGTTAGTACTTAATGCAGGAGCGATTGTTTTTGCGTGACTCTTGCTGTGCTGTATGATGTATTCCATGTAAGATCTGCCGGAATCATCCGAAGTTTTGTCCACCCTCTCCCTTGTGGAGAGTGGATGTGAAATGTTATAGCCACCAGCCTACCCATAAATAAGACTAATGGAGGAATAATTGGTTCACAGCTGAATTAATTAAACTAATTGTAACCAATGATAACAGGGATGTAGCCCTTTTATTTACTTTATTTCTTCATGTAACGCAGTAAAATTTCCAATAATTTTTTTTCCAATGCCCACCTGCGTTAGCATCCGTCAATTCAGGCATTACAGGGCAATTTTGTTGGGCTCTCTTTCAGGGGCACCTTATTAGGTGGACCAACGTTGCTCCCACCGTGAGGACAGATAGTACAGAGAAAGAAAGAACATCTATGCATTGCCCGGGATACGAACTCAGAACCCTTCTGTAGCAAGGACAGTTCCCCTACACAAGCCGGTCGGCAAATTTTCAATATAGTTTTTATGAAATACATATGCCATAAGTGATTGCAGAACTCATTTGTAGAAGGTTGTAAGTTACAATTTGATGAGTTTAGTATAGCAAAAGCCAGGAGCAGTTTGACACGTTGAATGCCATGGGGGTCACCGGTGACCGGCACTGAGTTTGTTCATAGAGCCACGGAAGTCACCGGTGACCGGCGAAGCCAAGATTATGAAAAACACATAATTCGAGTAAATTTTTAATTTTTTTTATATTATTATCGTTGCTAAAATGGTTTGAAGAAATTAATGCAATATAGAACACAGAAAAATAGTTTTATTTATATACTCAGAGATGACAACTTGCTCCGGACAGCGAATAAATGTTTTCAAATGGTAGTTTATTAATTGTGATTCTTGGTTTAATAAATTCAATTTTAGTAGATTTTTATCCACCACTATTTCTAAACAATTCGACGACTTATATAATTCACCACTATTTTCAGATATGTCATGCTAAACCTTTTAAAAATTAGTAAAATCTGTCTCATATTTGCAAATTTAGTTTGTAGTTATTTCCCGTTTGGCCAGACTGGAGAGCCATGAAAAATTAGCGCGGCTCTCAACTTGTTATTAAGAGCATTTTTTTCTGAAATAAAGTTTTCTGCATGAAAAAAGTTATGTATGCGTTATTTATCTATCAAAGGGCCAACTCAATAATCTGGCTGTGTACAACAGCCATCGAAATTTTTCTTTGTTGGAGAATTCTCCGCATTGTTTGTTCATTTCCAAAACACGTATTCGAACAAAGCCTATCTTCTTAAATATGCATTTTAATTTATGCATGTTATTTAAACAAGCATTTCAATTTATGTCCAGAAAAGAAAGCTTGCCGACCTTGAACAAAAATACGTAGATATTAATTTGTATATAATTTACATTATAATATTAATGCAAAGATGAACCAACATGAGTTAACGTAATAAAATTTATTTCACCTTCATTTCAAAAGAGAAGAAGTTTTGAAATACAGTAATTTGCATTTGCATCGATCATTGTTTGAACAGCTTATCAGTTACTAAACAGAAAACAATGCAATCAGCCGATATCTAGACAATGAAACCAGTAATTGCAAACAGAGCACTTTTAAAATTTTGAGTAAAGGCAAACACACCATTTTCATAAATACACATTCTACACATATAAAAGGTACAGTTTTAAAACTGAATTCGCATTAGTTTATTCGTTGAAGATCTAACATTTCATTTGTAGAAAAATGGCTTACACATTGAGAATTGCCTGTTTGGTTTTTGCCGTTGCTGTTCTTAGCATTTACTGTGATGGTAAGATTAGTTTTGTTGAGTTTCTTTTATATTTCTAATTCCCAGAAAAATAAAATTCAGTAACAATAAGAGATTATATAAAAAATTCCATTCTATACCCTACTCATAACGAATACCAATGAGTTAAGGTTTTAATATAATATTAAATAATCAGCTGATAGGATCTACACCTAAATTACATTTCTTTTTATATTATAATGCTTAAAAGTAGTCTCATTCAGAATACCTAAAATATCGCGATGTGACGTGTGATGCCATGAAGTAAAGCTAATTTGTTTAATAATTTAAATACTGGGCAGAGCAGATATTTAACACTTTATACGAAACAAGTTCGCTATAGTTAAAATACCACACTTATTACTCAAAATGCTTTTTCCATAGTCATTTTTCAAAATTTTTTCCAGAATTATTTCTCAAAATATTACTTCCATAGTTGTTTCACAGAAAGTTTTTTCTATAGTTGTTTCTAAGTTTAATAAACAACAGGCTTCCCACAATCTGGAAAACGAGTGGAAGCTAAGATTTTCTAAGACTACTGAAAAATACCTAAATTTTTCTTTCAATTGTAAATTACGAAAGTAATCACTCGTTGTGTTTTGCAAACATAAAAATTTCCCTTATATTAAATATTTATTCGTATTATTCATAGCTTAAAGCAGCTAGATATATCCTGCTTTAGCTACCGTTTGTCATTTGTGGTATACCTTTTTGGTATTTGGTATAATATGTCCTTTTTGGTATACCTTTTTGGTATTTGGTATAATATGTCCATTTTGGTATACCTTTTTGGTATTTGGTATAATATGTCCTTTTTTGTATACCTTTTTGGTATTTGGTATAATATGTCCTTTATGGAGATTTTTCCGGATGGTAGGTAATTATTAATTACAATAATAAAAGATATGCCACTTGCTCTACTTGTATGAAATTTATTTCAATTGGTTGCAAAATTTATGCTCTAAAAATTTGATTCTTGGTTTGGGTAGCAATATTTAAAAAAAAACTTATTTTGCTTACCACAACATTACAACAAATTTAAACACGCATAAAAAACGAAACTTGGATCCTTTCATAACGGGATTAGAGTTACAGAGAACTTTCAAAATTCTGAAAATTTTAGCATTTTGTTCTCTAGCATTTTACAAAAAGCAAATCAGGAAATAGTATCAACCCATAATGTTTAAAACGGTAGCGAAATAATAATTAAGATAGCTGCCAACAACTACGGATTGTCCGTTGAATTTCATTTTTATGTGTTAAGTTGCAATGAATCTTATAAATTTGTTTTTAATTTTTGGATTTTTAAATTTAATTTAGTGTATTAACTGGCATTAAATGCAAATAAATCAATCTTTTTTATCTAAGAACAAGTCATAGAAACGAAAATAAAATCAATTGCATAGCTGCCAACTCGTTCTGTTTTGCTTGCAGAATTTATATTCATATTTAAAGTGGTAACGAAGCTTATGCTATTAAATTCAACTTTTTCATTTACTCGTTCGGTGACTCCCGCGGTGCTACGAACATGGTCACTGCCGGTCACCGGTGACTCCGGCATTTAACGTGTTAATTTAATTTTTTTTATATAATTGTGTTTATAACAACCAAAATATTTCATTGTCTTATGGAATATATATTGTCTTCCGGAAAATAATGTTATTTTTGAGGCATATTTAATGGTTGTTTTGAGGTGCTAGGGTTGATTTAAGGTATATTTGAAGTTGATTTCTAAGACAGCCTGAAAATATCAACTTCAAAAAGGTGTATGAAGTTTTTCATTCTCACTTGAGATTGTTTTGAGGTTAATGGAAATCTACTTTAGAGCAACCGAGGTGGTTGTTTTTGAGGTGTATGGATTATTATTTCTACACTTCAAGCAAATACGTATATTTGAGGTGTGAATAATTTCACTTGATCTAACGATCTAAACAAAATTAGTTCTGAGTTATATATGAAGTTGATTTAGCTCTGTGTAAATGAGGTTTAAATTGAGGTTTATTAATATGATTATTTTTGGTGCAACACATAACCTCTTTTTTCTACCTCAGGTGTATTTTTAACATCTGTTAGCCTCAAAAACACCTTATATTTTTATAAGTAAATAATGGTGACTCAATTGCTTTATTCTCAGGGTTGCCGAGTGCTGACTAAAAAAATTCAAATGTTTGCTGTAATTTAATGTTTCAGTTTACTATTGATAGAGAAAGCAAAATCTTTGATTATAAATAATATGAAACGTAAGTCATAGTGGCAGATGCCATTGAATAATTAAAACGATAATAAATAAATAAAAGAGAATTTCTTTTACACAAATAATAGCCCTGTGGCATTCCTGCATTTTTAGCATTTATTTTTAAACATTAAGATGAATTTATGATTTTATGATTTTTAAACATTATGATGATTTTATTTTTAAACATTAAACATTAAGATAAACATGGAAACCTAGATTAAAAGTGGTAAAACGTGGTGGTAAGTATACTTACCACGGCCTTCAAAAGGGTTAATTATTTTTGTTTAGTAATGGTGAAATATCCTTCAAATTTTTCCTTTGGGCCTAATACATGACACATGTTATTCAAGAAAATATAAAATACTTGTTTTTTCAATCTGCCACTTTTTCACATTTATTAGCATCAATATATTTCAGAACATTTGGCGAGAGTGCTGGTTAAAAATTGTACAAATAAAGCTTTTATTACCAGTATGCCTTCTAAGGGTGTGCTATTCTATACAGTGTAGTTTGGGTCACCGTTATGGTAATAACTCAGAAAAGTAACTATTACGGATATTTGATAACAGTAAAATATAACCGCAGAAGAACATACTGATTATGACGAAATAGAGTATTCTCCTGAAGCAACTTAATTTTTTTTATTGCATTTGATTCAGTAATATTCTCAGAAACTAAATCGCACAAAATTCTGCGAATTAGGGAGCCTATGAAAGCAAATATTGCGAACTTTTGGCATTGGTAGAAATAGATTTTGGTAAAGCATCACTTGGGAGTCGTGCTGCCTT